GCGAGGGCGGCAGGGCCAGGACACACCTGTCCCCACTTACCTGGGGTGTCAGGGGCCTCTCAAAAGGAGGGGGCACATGAGTCAACCTTTTGAGGACTGATGAGAAGGTGGGACAGTGTCCATGCAGGAGCCCTGGTGTGTGCAGAGCCCAGAGGCTGAGGGGACCGAGGGCCAGAACAGGAAGGACGAGAGAAATCTGGTCAAAAAGGCCTGTGTGTGGAGACGCTGCATCACAAAAGGGCCTGCGGCCCGTGTTGCTGGGTTTGGACTCTGCAGTTTGCACGGACTCGAGGCTCTACACAGTGTGACAGGCCAGAGGTCACACACCTTCCTAGGGCCTCTGTGGTCCAGATGGTGAGGTCCAGCCAGTCACCCCAGAGGCTGAGCCCTCCGAACCCCAAATGGGGAGTAAGTCTCGATACTGGCTGCCCCTGAATCTTCAGGAATCTGAGGCTCACAGCCCCCTGCTAACAGGCTGAGGAATGATCACAAAATCAGTATTTGTTGCTTGTCCAGTTCATAGCCTAGATTTCCTGGAACCCTTGGAAGTTGCTGAACGACAGAATTGTTATTGCTAAGGAGCCTGTTTCCAGCACCTCTGAGTTTGCACTAACGAGGTGATCTGGATTGGGGTCCCCCGAGAGTCTCAGGAGGGTGCTGGTCATCATGAAGACCAAAGGCTAGAGCTTTGACCTGTGATGACCTTGACCTCCCACCTTGGTGTATCAGATGGGAGAGGGCTGCTGGCCGGGCTCGCCATGCCCTGGGGAACTTCCCTGTTGGCGACACACTGGGAGGTGGCACACCAGAGGGCTGCAGAAGCCCTGGCACCCCTTACCCTGGCCATGCGTCCCCCGCATCGGCTGTTCCAGAGTTGAACCCTTTAAGATGAACCAGTCATTGAGGAACCATCCGCCCTCCTAGCAAATGGTCAAACCAGAGGAGTGGGCGCGGGAACCGACTCAGTCAACCAGCCAGGCACTGAGCGGCTCTGGGCACAGGTGGTGTCTGAGCGGGAGTGTGGTGAGACAGGCCCTGCATGAGAGATGCCGACTCAGCGTCAGCACAGCTCTGCATGCCCGGCACCCAGCAGTGTCTGCAGTTGGGAGCATGTCCTGGGGGGCCAGAGAGTACCCCACATGGGCACACGTAGCTCTCCCCAGCACCGTGTCCCAAAGACGTGGTAAGACAGCAAGTTCCAGAATATGTAAGACTTCATTTTATACACTTGTTAATTTCTTACCCAAGGGGCCTCCCTGGTGGTGCAGGCAGTTGAGCGCTGCACTGTGAAGCTGTCCGCGGCCTCTGCAGTGCGGGTTCGATCCCGGCCAGCTGGCGAGAATCCCACATGGTGTGGCAGACCTCTCCTGTCTCGCCCACTGCTCCCCTGAGCAGCGTATTTCGTCAGTCTGCCTGTTCTGTTCCCCACTCTGTCTCTGGTGAATCCTCTCACCCCCTCCCCCCACACTCCTCCTCTGGCCTGTACCCCGGTTCTTGTATGCATAAATAAATCTTAAAAAAAAACAAAGATAAATTGTAAAATCCTACAAGGGCTAAAATCTCAGTTTATTCCTAGCATGCCGGCGTTCTGAGAAGGCTTTTATTTAAAAAGGATCTGCTTGTTGCTTTATAGAACTGATTATTAAGAATAGATTTTCCTCTAAAGGAGACAGTGAGCGAGGTCACTCTAGGGAAGAGTGAGACGATGAAATCCGCAATGTCTCTATCCCCCTCAAGTTTGATGTCCATTTTGGCAAATGAAATGGATCATCTGGTGTTTCCGTTTCAGCGACTCTGGGTTTGCCCCCCACAGCACGTTTCAGATACACCCTGGATTCTTCCAGATAAGACTCACTTTTTCTCTCCCTCCTTGGAAGTCAGGCTGCATAATTAAGATACAATCAAAGCGTGGGGTTAACCCAATTAGCCCCCTGGCCTTTACAGCAGAGGGAAATCTGGACACAGAAGCGCACAGACAAGGCGGTGTGAAAACACGGGAGAAGGACCATGTGGAGGCAGCGGAGATGGGAGCGAGGATGTCAGAAGCCAAGGAACCCAGGGCTACCAGGGGCTGGGACATTGTGAACTGACCACCCCCAGAAGTTTGGGGGTGTCCTGCTGATGGCTTTGCTTTGAACCTCTGGTCTCCAGAACTCTGAGAGCAGAACTCTGAGGCCATACGTTTCTGTCGCTGAGAACCACTCAGTTTATGGTCCTTCGTTACATCAGCTCTAGAAGCCCCTACATAGGGGCACTGAGGTCCTTGATACATACTAGAAGTGGGCTGGGGCTGCTGGTCTCCTTGGGGGTGGGAGGGACAGACGTGCTCCTAGTCGTTCCCCTGTTGCGCTGGGAACGTGGCGGTGGTGCCTGGGCAGGCGCGGACATGCTGGAGCAGGAGAGCAGGACGCTGCGAAGAGCCGGGCTCCAGCTTGAGGCTGCGCCACCCACGGCCAGAGTCCTCATGCCCACGGCGACTTCCCAGCCGTTCAGTTGTTTCATTGCTTGATTTTCTGCTATTTGCAACTCACCACATCTCACCCGGTGTGTAGAGTAGACTTGCAGCTCCTCTTGGTGCAGGCCAGGAGATAGTTCTGTGGCATCGAACACTGGACGGCGGGCCAGTGAGCTCATTCCCAGCAAAATGTCCATCTCATCGATCCTGGAGGACATCGACGCTGACCATGTGGTTAAGAAGTCCTCACAATGCAGTGTGTCCAGACCCGCAGGACCTCATTCTTTGGCCTGCTCACCTGTCCACCCACAGATATCATCGGGCACCTCCTCGGTGCCCATTGCTATGAGCGGAGCTGACCCAGCCTCCCGCCAGCCATGCATGGGTTCCACCTGCTCCTTCCATCCCCTGACTGGCAGAGCCTTCCCGGAGCAGCCACCCGTGAGTGCCCTCCAGGAGATGCTTCTCAGAGGACCACAGCTGCGCCGAAGACTCTTATGGAGCACGCTGCTGCTTTCCTCCCTCAAGCAATTTAAAAACAGGCAAGTAAAGCTTCATGTGTGCTGGCCGTGCGGTGCCCGTTCCGGCCTCAGCCTGCGGCTAAGAGAGGTGTGGGGTCGCATGACCCAATGACCAAGCATCCCTTGGCCCAGGGAGGAGAGAGTTAGAGAAAACCCCGGGGTCCCCTTCCTTGGCGCAGCATCACAGAGGAACCTCTGGGTCTTTAAAAATACCAGGAGGTTCTTCTCAACCTCACTTCCTTGTCCTTCTCGGGCGACAATGTCTCCACTTCCCACTGCATTTTTTTTTTCCCTTTTCTCACTGCTTGCCGTGGATCTTAAAATAATTTTAGGCTCACTGGGAGGTGTTCAGCGTTTGGATGTGTGCTAGGCAGACAGCCGTATTTACTGGTGCCTTTTCTGACTTAAAAAAAAAAAGTCTACATCTAAATTTAGTGAGGAGAAAATATCCCAAGTTGAGCCCTTTCTTGAGAAAGAAAGAAAAAGAAACCTAGACTTTTAATATAAAATGTCTTCTCGGATGAGAGGAGCGAAGGAGATTTCAAAATATAACTTTCAAGTTGCAGGGAGAGAAAAACTTTGCAAATGAGGGAAAAAAAGGAGACTCTACAAATGGTTTCATTCAAGGGTGTCTTTATTGTGTCTGTGGTGACAGATGAAGAAGGAGAAACTTGAACCAGACCTTTGACCTGTCGTGGGGTCAGGGGGCACCCCTGTCTGTGTTCGGACCCCTTTGACAACTTCCTGTATAATTTGACTATTATTTGTGCGTCTGGGCACTGTCTGACCTTGGAGTCTGGAAAAATGTGAAGGCAGCCTGTGTTTCCATGCCAGATGGGCCACGCCGCGCCAGGGCGCGCTGCATCAGACGTGGGTGGAGAGACTGTTTGATCCCCGCCAGGGAAGATGAAGGGCGTGGGGTTTCCAGCTGACAGGGAGAAGGACAGAGCACAGGTATGGCCTGATCTGGGGTGCACCCCTCCCCCCCAGACACTGCATGGCTGCCACGGAACCGGCTTCTGGAAGCAGATCAGTCATGACAGAAAGAAGGAGGCGTCATTGGCATTTCAGATCTCAAATGGACTTCTGCCACCAGCATCCAGAAAGACTGGACTTTCCAAATCCAAAGGCAGGCGTTTCCAACGCAGACTCACCCCACTGCAAAGTGGGCCCTTTGGACAGGGATGGGGGTTTTACAATCTTAACGGTAGTCCTCATAGAAGACTGTTCATAAACATAATAATAATGGGGCCTCCCTGATGGTGCAAGGGGTTAAGTCTCAGCACCATGAAGCTATCAGCAGCCACTGCAGCATGAGTTCGATCCCCAGCCAGGGAGCTGACCCACATGGCATAGCAGACCTCTCCTGTCTCCCCGCTGCTCCCCTCAGCAGTGGATTTCAGTCTGTCTGCCTGTTCTGCTCCCCGCTCTGGTTCAACTCCAGCACTTCTGACTACATCCCAGTTCTTGAATGCATAAATAAAAATAAATCTTTAAAATAATAATGCTAATAATGGTCTATGTTCATCCTTTCCACAGGGGTTTTCACTGATTTGACATAAAATAAAGATTTGATATAAATATATAAAAGTTTTACTTACTGAAAAATAATCGATGTCTCCCTCTCCTCAATTTGGGGAAAATACAGTCTTACAGCGTTATTGCCTGCAGCTAATCAGAGCTTCTGAGCACCTGACACATCTGCAGGCCATACAAAGTTGTTCTTACACAGTGAGGGCCACCTGGGATGGACAGTCCACCTGTGGGTCCCATCGTGTTAACCAGGTCGCTGCAGGAGCTGGGGATACTGGGCTGGGCTGTAGGGACCGACTGTCGGACCTGGGGACCGACGTGACTTGTCACAATTGCCTTCATCCTGTTTGACTCCATGGAGATGGACATAAGGGAGGCGGACAACCAAGGGCTGGTATTAGAGGACAAGTTCAAGGTCACACCCATGGTGAGGTGGCAGTCAGGGAGGTTGTCAGTGGTCACCATTGTGAGCCACTGTGCAGAGTCCCAACTTGGGGAACCACAAGGCAAGGCAAACAAAATGCCACTGGCCCCAAGCCTGTGAGTGATTGAGCAGCAAAGTGGGTTGAGCTCGGGAGGCCACTGATGGGCGAGGAGGAGGGGCTTAGGGCCCAGGTGGGCCTGGAAGGAAGGGGAGGCTAAAGGAAGGAAGGATGGGGCAAAGGGAGCTCAGAAGTCAGAGCTGGCCAGACTTTTCAGAGATGGTCACACTCAACTCGGCCACTTGGCGACAAGGAAGCTTAAGGAGCACAAGGTCGGGTGTGTTGGGCCAAAGTCAGCTGGTCAGGCAGACGCGGCCTGGATTCAGTTCCAGGGGGTGGGACAGCCCATGCATCAAACCCCATAGTCACCCAAAGCACAGGTCCTGTGCTCCTTCTGTCTCCACCAAGACTTTCTGTTTCAAGTTCAGAAAGAGAACATCTCATCTGCTGAGGGTGTTAAGATCCTGAACTTCTAGGGCCTCCCCTGGTGGCGCAGGGGTTGAGCACTGGGCTGCGAAGCTGCCCGCAGCCTTTGCAGTGCTGGTTCGATTCCCGGCTGCCAGCAAGGGTCCCACATGGTGCGCAGACGTCTCCTCTGTGCCCGCTGCTCCCCTCAGCGGTGTATCGTCAGTCTGCCTGTTCTGTTCCCTGCTGTGGCTCTGGTGAATCCTCTCACCCTCCCACGCTTCTGACTGTACCCAGTGCTTGTGTAAATAAAATAAATCTTTAAAAGAAAAAAAAAAAAGATCCTGAACTCCTAGAGCAGTGAGCGGGCTCTAGGTCACAGGGAAATGACACTGCAGCATTGTAAATGCGAATGACGTCTTCTTTTCTTCTAGGAACCAAAAACTTTGGTTGACCTATTTGGGGCCATTTTATGTAAAACACATCATCTGGCCACTAAGTCATTTTTCCCTTGGCAGGGGGGCTGTGAGCAAAAGCCAAGCTCACACAACCATTCAGCTAAGCGCCTACTCTGTCCTGGCCACCGGGTAACCATCCATAACGCTTCTGAGCTCCTGACCCAAGGGGCGGCCTCAGAGCACCTATTCAGGATAAGGGGGTGCGCCAAGCCCCAAGCTGCACTGCTGCCTCGTCTGCCGGCTGCCTTGTTCCCTCTGAGGGCTGGCTGCACTCTGCATTTCTTACTTCTGCTGGGTTTGGGAGTGCAGGATTCTGTCGTCACATCTAAGAGGTGAGGAGGTGGCCTGACAGGGAGAGCAGGGCGGCCGAGGCCAGCGGGGTGACAATACACTGTCCTCCCCGGACATGAATCACATTTTGCTTCTTCCTTCTAGGACTCAGCTCCTGCCTCCATAAGAAAGGCACAGTGAAGAGGGGGCTGGGTCACCTCGAGGGCCATGAGCCCAGAGGCCCAGGCCCTGGCGGCTTTGTCTAGGGCTGTGGACTGGAGTCTGCCTGGTGTTTAAAAACCACCTTGCCCCTCGGGCCCTGTGTCCCGTTTCAAGGCATGCCATGGGGAATGTCAGGCCCTTATTAAATATCCGCAGCCTCCATCTGCTTCTGTCTTTCCTCTGAGATGACTGCCAGACAGCAAGGTCAAGGCCACATGTGCCCCGCTGATCCCAGAGCAGGAGGGGCGGGTGGGCCCGACTGTCTACACTGAACCAGACACAAAAGGGTTGCTATTCAGGAGATTTCTCTGCAAATCGTGAGGCCCCGGATCTGACGCCTGCTTGTGCCTCTCCACAGCCCTGCCTCACCTGTTATTTTCCCAAGGCCTTCATCAGGGGGTCAGGTCATCCAGGAAGTGAAGACTCACTCGGGGACTGAAGATGCAGGTGAACAGGACACACTTCCCTGGCCCACATCTGCATCTGATCACAGAGCCCCGACACGCAGCTCAGCTCCGAGACTCACCCTGGGGCCGCAGACTCGGTGCTCAGGTTATTTGGCACAAATGCAGATTTTTCCAAACCCGGAGGCATGCGTGGGGTTCAGAGAGGGAGATTTCTCTAACGGAGGCAGGTGATGAAGCACCAGGGTAGAATAAGCTTTCACCCCCTCCCTTTAGCAGGGAGCCCCCTCCCCACCTTCATGGGCTAAAATGACACCTACTTTTGGGGTTTGGTGAAGAGCACGAGGGTCCATATGAAGGAAATGACAGGCCACCGTCAGGTTCGCCTCTCGCTCCTCCTTATCCACTTCATCATTATCATCATTATTCAAAGTCACATCATTGCCCTGAGCCTCGGAGCCCCACGCTAGAGACCTGGAGGGAAGGGCAGGCCTCCCGCCCGGCAGTCGAGGCCCAGATCAGAAGGGGTAACACAGACCCCTGCTCTTGGCTCACAAGAGGCTCTGCACCCACACAAGGGCATTTTGGGGGAACAGAGGAATTCTATGTCATAGTCAGAAATAGAGCAAGAGAGCAGAAATTAGAAGACAGAAATAAGAAGGCACAACTTGCTTTTTGTCATTTCAATGTCCTCATTCGAGATGGTTCCCTTACCTCCCAGAGTTCTTGTGGCATTATCTTCTGTTAAAAGGATTCAAATGGCATTATTTGCATGGACTCTCGCATGCCAACAATGCCATCTATGCCACCAAGTTGCATCATGGACTCTCACATGCCAATGGTGCCATCTATGCCACCAAGTTGCATCACAATAAAGATGACTGTGTCACCCGGATGTGACATTCTTTACACCATTAAATTGCAAGTCAGAGCTGGGGTGAGAAGTGACTGCCCTCCCTGCAAAGGCATCACCTCTGATATGCACGGAGCCTACGGGGGCCGACTCCCTGCGTGTCGGAGGCTGCTGACACCGTGGAGCTCCAGGCCAGGGAACGTTTCCCCGACATGGGGCACTCAGGGCACCCACCTGAGTCAGCAGGGAGCGCAGGCTCAGGGCCGTCCTGCTCCCACAGGGACTGGGAGAATTGGGAGGAGCATGACTGGGAGGAGCATGGACCCAGACTGACCTTCCGTGGGATGCAGCCAGCTCCAAGGTCATCAGCAGGCTGCGTGCTCTCTCTGGGGCAGAGCCAGCTTCACAGGGTAGTCCAGGAAGACAGCACGTGGCGACCCCAGAATCCAGAATCCTCCACCCAGGTGGAGGGTGAAGGAGCGGACAACTGACCCCAGAGCTTGGAAGCTACAGTTAAGACGGGCGACCTGGTGTCTCACCCCGTGCCGCAGGCCGGGGAGCTGGGCACGCGCTTGTCACCCCGAGATGCGGATGCGGGGTGAGTCTCCCTGTCAAGCCCACCCGGCTGAGCCCAAGGACAGCCCACCGAGCTCAGGATGCAAGTAAGCGAGGGGGGAGTGGGGGCGATGTCCACCAGCTCTCCCAGAGTCCTACCTGGCGAGTGAATAGAGAGTGAGCGGGAGTAAGAGCATCCGCAGCTGCAGTGGCCCAGACAAGAGTGTCGGCAGGCTGACGAAACCAGGGTCGGTAAGCAGAGGACATCTGCTTTCTGGCCTGGGCTGCCGCCCTCAGCCTTATCGTGCGGACCTCACCTGTGCCTCCTGGATCAGGTGAGCCACATGCAGTGACCCTGGGGCCTCTGGCTGGAGTAACAAGCTCCCCTCCACCTGAGTAGGCTGACCCTGGAGGGAAGCCCCAAGAACTTACCTTTGGCCGATGTGCTGGTGCCCCCCAGCTTCTGCCCATCTGCATAAGGGATGGGGGCACGTGTGCCTGAGGAGCAGCTGTCCCCCACCTCCTAGGTTAGGAGGTGACTACCCCATGCACCCAAAAGTACCTCCAGGGACAGATCCACCTTGTCCCCCACCTGGCCCCAGGTCCTCGCCCTAGGACCCCACATCACCACAACAACAGCCTCAGGCAGGGCTTCGCTGCTTACCCGGCCCTGAGACAGGTCCATTTTTACCCCCATGTTACATCCCCAGCAAAGTGCCCGGGTCACCAGACAGCGGAGCTGGGTGGGACGGAAAGGTCTGCTATGGCTCACGCGCCAGCCATCACACTGACCGCCTTGCCTGGGAGAGCCGGCGAGGGCTTGACTGAGTGCAGCATGCAAGTCTCTCTCAGAGCAGGGTGACAGGGAAGCCGCAAGCCCTGGTCCCGTCAGGTGCATGTCCTCACCTGGTTCCGGAGCAACTGAAGAATTCTCATGTTCTTCAAGCCAACTCCCTGATCTCTTGCAAACAACACATTTAGCAACATTGCCAAGTGGGGGTGCAGAAATCAAATATTGTAATTAAAATTTCCTCTGGGGATACCGCAAGTAAAGTCCCTGGGATGGCGGTGAGACAATGCCTGGAGGTGGGGGGCCGCGAGAGCTCCCTGAACACTTTCTTTTTATTGATAGCAGTGAAATAGCATTGAAACCTCCTTTGCAGAAAGCTAAGCTGCCACCCCTTCTGCATTGCTGCGGCTTTTTAATCAGGAGACATTGTAGCCTCACAATGTGGCCGGGAGGCTTTAAAGCTCTGGATGGCAAGCGTGGCCCCTGGCCCGTCAGGACAGCCTTCAGAGGAAGGCAGGCAGACTCACGAGCCCGCTGGGCTCCAAGGCGCTGAGCATGTGTGCAACAAGCTAAGGCTTGGGGTCCTATGGAGGAGATGGAGCCACGAGTAAGGAGGGAATCGAGAGCTGGGCTTTTCCTTGGGAGGTGGAGCGCGGTTTCTCAGAGTCCAGGAGGCGCTAAGGAACCCACGGGTGGCCTTGGAGTCTGGCGCACAGTGACTAGCTGTGGGGCACATCACATCTGAGCTCGCTGCTTCCCACTGCTGCAGGGAACGCTGCTTGTTCCCAAATGCGCCTCTGTCTCCGAGGTTTGGAAGCGCTTCCTGCCTCAGCTCCTGCTGATTCCACACACAGGGTGCAGGACTGCCTGGAGAATCACGCAGAAGAGACAGCTCTCCAGTATTCACCAGTATTTTGAATACTTCCAGGGGCCTTGTCCCGCAGGGGCCATTTGGGACGGGCTCCCTGACTGGGGGGAGCCTGGGGGTCAGGCGCCGAGCACCTGGCCAGCCCTTCACCCGCTGCCCGGCCCCGCCTCCGCCTAACTCCATTTTCCCGGAACTCATCCAGTTACACAAGTGACCACGAGTAAATCACGTGTAATTAATTGAGATTTTTTTTTTAATAACCAGACATGGATGATCTGATCTTATTAAAACGGGGCTTGGGAGGTTTTAGGCATAGAAATAAGTAAGTACAGGACAAAGGAGAGGTGGTTGCAGTCAAGCCTGGAGAACTCACAGGAGGGAGGAGCCCCTCCAGGGTGAAGAGCTTGAGGGTAGGGTGTTTCCTGGGGGCAGAGAAGTGCAAAATGCACTTCGGTAGCAGATCCCAAGTTTATATGCTCCTTATTAATAGCAAGTTACTGATACTCTCCTCTAACTGAAGGGAAACATTCCAGTTTCCCATTGTAAAATCAGAGACTGTAAAATAGAAAGGGGAAAAAAATCACACGCCACCCTAGCACCCGGGAAGAGTCCCTCCTGTTCCCACCCGGTTTTCATATGAAACACAGTTGCTGGGAACACGCTGAGCTGGCATGGCCAGGACTTTGCACCCTGATTTTCTCTTCTATTTCCTTCTCGACTTAACAGGATGGAAGGAACAGATATTCTTCCCAGTTATCCCCAAACTTTGCTGAATATTTTTCAAGTGGATGGATTATGGTTTAACAAACCAGTGGTTCCTTACTGGATAACTGTTTTCTGATTTTACTGGTTTGCATCATTTGCTAAACACATTTTTGTGCACACATGATTTTCTCTACATCGGATTTTGCTGTTAAGGTCGTTGGAGGCTTTACATTCGCTCATTAAGGTGTAGGGCACACACCCAGTGGGCCTTGCTTTGGCACATGGGTGTGCAAAGAGGCCTGCGTCTATCTCCATGGCCATGTTCACTGAGTCCCCATCTTTGTACCACAGACCTAAGGGTGTCTCCAAATCCAGACCAACAGAGAGGAGTCACCTTGTGTAGGTGGAAGAGGTTCAGATTAAGCCGCAGAGTTAAACCATGGATTTTTTTTTGACGTCTCAGTTGAAAAATTATGCTCTAGATGTGAAAGCAGAAAGTTTGGAAAAGGGAGACAAGTAGAAGAAGTTGTAGAAATTGTAGTACCTAACACACCCTGGGCAGTCCTCTGAGCTGACGGGGAAGAGAGGGGAGAAGAGAGAGACAGACAGAGAGACAGAGACAGAGAGACAGAGACAGAGAGAGCGAGCGTGTAAGAACAGTGGGCATTTTGCCTGGGCCCTAACTCTCCACTGGACGGAGAAAGTCATGGGGTCCTGGGGAGCCTACAATGAGCTGGGGGACCCAAGGGCTAGCCAAGGGTTAGGAGGGACTGGCATCACCCATCTCACCTGGAATTCTGATCAAAGTGTCTCGCTTATATCCTGGCACATCAAGGGGCGAGAATAACAGGGATGCAGTGGAGGGCAGACACGTCGAGTTCCTAGGAGCAGGGTGTAGGACTGCTCCCAAGCCACTGAGCCTGAGGAGGCACAGATAATAGGGGGGCTCCAGGAGGCACCAACAAAGGCACAGA